CCTAGGCAGGTGTAGCAATAGTTGGCCGTGGGCCGTGTACTTCTATTGGTCCGTGGTCGGTCCCCGTGCGTGAGTGTGTCGGCGCCTGGCGGCAGTTATAAGCCAGGACGCTCCTCTCTAAATGGCGACGAAGAAGAAAACTCTGATTTCCCCGTCTAATGAACTGTTCCCCTCGGGATTCAGCCGAGTTTCTTCTCTGTTCTTCCCAGATTCTTGCTACGTTTCCCTCCCAAACTCCATTCAGTTATCCAAGTTCGTTACCTTAGAGAAAAGCCACGGTAGTAAGACCTTCCACAGCGCACGCATGCAGCGGTGCTTCAACTGGACAAAAGTTTTGGCGCTCTTCTCTTTCCACACGTACTGCAGCGAAGCTAATGGTGCCGGCCTGTGCTAGGAAATTTGGGAGCAGCGAGCACAAACAAATACGTAATGCCCACTCTAATTTAGGACTCACTCGTACACCTCCCCTTTAGGACGTGGGATATTTTTTTTTCTAGAAAAATGTGCAATGTAAATTATCTCTTCGATAGTATCGAAAAAAAATCCTCAGAAAAACATACATAGTAGTTTTTAAAAAAAAAACAATGCACATCTATATAGTACATCTATAGATTACATTGTCAAAAAAAATTAAGATTCAAGCTTATTACTTTCTACTGTTCATGGGTTCGCTGAAATTAAAATGAGTAAAACTACAAGCTAGCTGTAGGTAAGAATGAAACAAAACATCACAGTAATGTGCCGAACACAAATAGTATGACGTACATCACTCATGCTGTGGACAGCCTAATAAGAGTGCAAATAGCCGAAGAAGACCCAACCATTTCCTGTGCAGCCGCCCACCTCGGATTGGCCGTCGGCGACACGTGCTCCCTATTCGACGTCCGAGAGCGAGTCTTCCTCTTCAGCTCTTCCGAGACCATCGATAACCAGCCACGCTTCTCCCATGAGATGCCACGAAACCGTTGTGAAACCTGCGTGCTCAGTCTCGCGTCTTGTCTAATCCACCGGCTAGTGCAATCTTAGGGTATTAATCAAGTTATCACTGCAATCAAAGAATAATAATAAGCAACTAATACTTGCAGGCGCAAAACCTGCAATACGTACTTGTTTATATCTATGGCCAAGTCAGGAAAAAAAACATTTCGGACTTCGGAGTCAAGGGGACAAAGGAGGTGCTCTTGGTAATAATTAACCTAGCTACACCCTGCAAGTCTGGAACAAAATCGAAACGTGTGGTGCCCTTGCACATTTTGCGTGCACCGACGTGTGCAGGCAAACATAGAGTAAACTGTACACTGGCCTCGGCGGGCGTGGATCTTCGAGCTACTTATGGATTACTCCCTTCTGTCTTCGGAAAAATATTATTTTTTAGAGCTTGTGTAGGCCTGCTTGACTTCGCTCTTTTAGCTGTATTTTCAACTTTGCTAGTCAAATAGAGACAACTCTACAAAATTTGCTCCAAAAAAGATAGGGTTGAGGACCAACTCTTGATGTTTTGTGAATAACCTAAAGTTGTACCGTAGAAACTCCATCTTTTTTTATAGAGCTACTCCATATTAAGAGTTGGTGAAGCAGTTCTAAACAAGCTCTTAAAGATGTCATTTGGTTCCAATGATATAAATAGTAATTGGTAAAGCACATTAGACCACATCATAGTACCAATAGTTTAAGGGAACAAAAAGCGCTGGTTGCTTGTTTGATTGTGGCAATGGTTTCGCTTCCTATCCCTATGAGAAGAAAATGATGAACTCGAAACCCTAGTGGAAGAAGGGAGTGATGAAAAATAAGTAGACGAGGGGAGAGGAAGAGGTTCAACGAAAACCATGGATTCAAGAGCTATGGCATCGTGAGAGAGGCGCAAGGCGTCCGCAACGCGCACTAGAGAGCAGGGCATGTGTCTCTAGTGATGGTTGATTTTTCTCACAATTAACGAGAGAACGGCCAACGAGATCGAATAGCGTTGAGAGGGGAACGTTATGCATGTTCCATAGGCTCGTAACAATTTCACATCATGATCCATTACAAATAGGCCTAACCAAACGGTAAACAGTGGAATTAGATCACACCGTTAACTGATAAGGTCCAAAAAGCCTCAACCAAACAACACCTTAGGGCCTGTTTGGATCACATCATGATCATAAATCAATTTTTTGTTAAGGCGATACTATATAAAAGAATATACTAGCATCTATATTTTAATGTTATATCTAACTATACTAATTTTGTATCATAAATGTTTATCATTTTATAATAGATTTTAGTTAAACCTAAAAAATTGACCTAGGATAACTCCATAAGTTGATTTATTCGGAGACAATGGAATAGCTTGATAGAACTTGTAGAGTGAACAACTCATGTACACATGGGCTTACGGCTTACCTACAGGCTAAAGCTTAGCAAGACAATTTAATTGTTGAGACATATGGTTTGTTTGGCAGCATGAATTGATTCTAATTCTAGCAAAAATAGCTATAATCACTGTCAAACAGGTCAGAAGAGAAATATTTCTCTTGAGAATCATTAGAATCATTTATCGTTTTTATGCCTACCAGGGAGAAACGACCGCTAGCTAATTTCGCATGCTGTATCTTGCCGGCGTCAACCATATTTTTTTATTAATCTTTTTAAGTGCAACAAGTTAAAATGAGTTGTATTTAAGTTGTTCTTAGCCCATAAAAACTTGTGAACTATTTTGAAGATTTTTTCATTTATATTTTTATGAAAATATACTTTTTGCGAATCAAAATCTAGTATATTTTAATGAAACTAAAATATATAAATGGACATAGCTGAGGCCCACATGATTGCCTATAGTTACTTGTAAGGTAAAGATAGAGCAAACTAGAGGGGAGTACTTGCCTTATGGTCGTATAAATCTATGTACTATACAGTGGAATTTTAACGGAACTAATAATTTCTGCATTTTTTTAGAGGTGCATTTGCAAGCTCTAAATAGAAAGTACGTTGGCCCCTGCCTGGAAAGAGGGAGTACTGGCTTGATTTTTTTGGACTTTGTGTTAAAAATATAAAGGGTACTTCCAAGCATTTTGTCGGCAGAGATGAGAGATCTCGACTCTCCAGTGCCATATGATACACAGTACTGTACGAGGCTACGAGCATCAACGGCTCTGGTGGATAATTATTAGAATTAAATTAAAAAAAACAGTCGCATGCTAAAATAGCAGTCCCCTTATTCAAATCTATAAACACGATACAGTCGAGGCCCAAATAGGCCCGGTTCTCCTTTGCCTCTCATCTCGCCGCTTGTGGTGAATTGTGATCAGTTGTTGCGCGCGTGCGCAGCGGGGTAGTCGAACGGCAGCGCACGCACGCTGTCGTTGAGCGGGGCGGCGTGGCGGAACCCGTACGCGCGGAGCACCTGGTCGTCCGCGAACGCCAGCGCGCGGCGCATCCCGTCGTCGCAGCTCTCCCTCGAGTACATCGGGTTCCGACCGCCGCTGCAGGGCTGGCAGCCCACGAAGTGCGTGATGAGCGGCCGCCGCCACCCCATCTCCCCGCCACCGGCGGGCCCCGGGACGACGCCACTCGCGGCGGCGTTCCGGGCCGCCGCGTACCGCAGGTGCTCCCGCTCCGCGTGCCGCCGCCGGAGCCCCAGCGTGGGCGTGCGCCGCTCGACGGCCTCGTACCGCGCGGCGACGCCGTCGAGGCGGTCCACGACCTCCTTCCAGTAGCCCTGGAAGAAGTACTCCGTCTCGATGAAGGTCTTCTTCCCCAGCCTCGCCCAGCCGTTGAGGAGCAGGTAGACGAGCGCGGACTGGTCGCACGCCACGTCGGAGTCCACGTCGCTGAGCGCGTCCCTGAGCGTCTTCCCCCACCGGGCGTGCTCTTCCGGGTAGGCGGGGCCCATGCGCGCCCACTCGTCCATGAAGTCGAGCGACCACTGGCAGTTGCGGATGAGGAACACGCCGGCGTTGAGCCCCAGCCACGACTTCCTCACGAAGAACTTGTTGGGCCAGCCGTACACGACGAAGTTGCGGCCGGCGTACTTGGCGAGCGGGAGGAGAAGTCCATGTCGGTGAAGACGGCGTCGGAGTCCACCCACCAGACCCACCCGCCTCCGGGTGGGCCAGCATGGCGGCGCGCACGATGGGGATCTTGGCCCAGTAGGCCCGCATGGCCGGGTGCAGGAACTCCCTGTTGTAGAGCAGCTCGATCCCGTGGAGGCGGCAGTAGTCGACCTTGTTCTTGAGGAACCGCAGCATCAGGTGGTCGCCCGCGTCGCCGGGGCACGGCTCCGGCTGCGAGCCCGACACCATCACCACGCGCTCCGGCGCGTTCCGGCGGACGAGCCCGCGCGAGCGCAGCCACTCCGCGCGCTTGGCGTCCCACCCGGTGAGGCGCCGGCCCGACGCCACGGCGTACGACAGCTCCGGGTCGTCGTAGAACGTGCGCAGCCCGTCCTCCGGGCCGGGCACGGGGACCGCCAGGGTGACCAGGCCACCGCGCCCGCCGGGGTCGAGGACCGACCCCGTGCCAACGAGCGCGAGCAGTGCCGCCGCGACGCCGGCCACGAACACGAGCGCGTCGCGCGCGCGGCGCCCGCGGCCCGCCGTCAGCCCCTGCGGCGTCGCTGTGCCGTGGTGCATGCCGGCGTTGCTCCCCGCCGAAGCGGAGACGCGGAGTGAAGCGGCCTTCGACGCGCCGGCCATTCCGTGTTACCTACAGTTCGGCGTTCGCGCGGCGTGCGGCTAGCTCGCTTCGGTCGGCTCGTCGCCGATTTGTGCGGTGGTGCGGTGGTGCAGGCAGCAGGCCGCGCTTGGTGTGGGGACTGCGGACGTGTTTGTAGCCCCGCCTGGGCCCTTATGCTAGGGAGTTGGAGCGATCACGTGAGGCCGAGAAAGCGGGGGAGGAATCCGCGAAACAGGCTGGGGTCATATTATTTTCCCTTTTTTTTCAGAGGCTCGTAGCCTCGTACAGTACTTGTGTGTATAATACATGGCACTCGAGAGTCGAGATCTCTCTTCTCTGCCGACAAAATGCTTGGAAGCACACCCTTTATATTTAACACAAAAGTCCAAACGGTAAATTCTCAAGATTGGTCAAATCAAGCCAGCAATCCAGTTTGGATGTATTTAGAGCTTGCAAATGCACCTCTCAAAAATGCAGAAATTATTAGTTTGGTTAAAATTCCACGGTATATAGATTTATACAACCACAAGTCAAGTACACCCCTCTAGTTTGCTCTATCTTTACTGTACCAATTACTATAGGCAATCATGTAGGCCTCAGCTATGTGCTTTCTAGCTAACCCATAAAGAAAAGACGCCATTAAACAATAGTAACTTTTATAGCGGTATTTGGTTATTTGCGAATAGTATTGGTATCTCCCCAACTTCCGGAACGAGTGGAATGACTCTTTCATCAGCATGTTCGCTTGATGGTGTCAGCCAGAGCTTATTGGTTATGGTACAGTATTTTTCTCTCACAACAAATCAACATCAGACAGATTTATCAGTCTAGAAACCCACCAGTGAACAGGCTGCATAGTGGGACAGATAGTGTAGTTCGAAGCAGTAGATATAAAGTGAAAACAGGGAAACACAGGCTAATTATGGTGGATATGTCTCATTGGCTAGCGTGCCTCGCTCCTCACGACCCGGGACCGCTGGGGCGACAAGACCTACCTCGGGATCGACTACTACTTCCTGGGCTACTTCGCGGAGATCGTCGGCAAGCTCGACGTCGTCGCGGCGCGGTACGAGGCCGCGGAGCGGAAGGGCGACCCAGCCCTCCGACGCAGGCACGCGGAGCGGGAACACCTGCGGTACGCGGCGGCGCGGAACGCCGCCTTCAGGGCCGTTGTCCCGGGCCCCGACGGCGGCGGGCAGTCCGGCTGGCGCCGCCCGTTCGTCGCGCACTGCACCGGGTGCAACCCTTGCGGCAGCAAGCGGAACGCGATCTACACGAGGGAGATCTGTGAGGACGGGATGCGCCGCGAGCTCGGGTTCGCCGACGACCAGGTGCTCCGCGCGTACGGCTTCCACCACGCCACACCACTCAACGACAGCGTGCGCTCGCCGCCGTTCAACTACCCCGCCGCGCGCGCGCAACCGTTGACGGCGAGCGGCGAGATGGAACTAGCTGCGGATTTGTACGCGAAAGTATAAAGGAATTGGGCCTTTAGTTGTATCACGTTGATAATTGATACTTATAAAACCTTTTTAGTTCGATCGACGAAAGCTAAAGAACAATACTACAATAGGGTGTTTTATCAACATCGCTCCAGGAGCCTTTTTTCAGTCTGTTACATACTTCCATAATCCATCATTGGCACTTGATTTGAGCTCTCTCCGTTTTTCTAGCGTCGGAGTGACGAGCTTTGAGAAAAGCCACGGTAGTAAGTGTTGGAATGTGATCGGTTCGGCTAATCCCGAACTTAATTACGAGATTAATTAAGTATTAAATTTTTTGTCCACATGTCATTTATTTTCAATTAAATAAGATATGCCGTGATCGGCAGCAACCCTGATATTCTAGGGTTCGCCCCCTAGCCTACAGCGCATCTATAAATAAGAGGAGACACCCCTGTCGGCTCCATCCACGTGAAACAAATCACACAACTGATCAATTAGGCGCTGAAGGGTCTAGGAAGGCCGTCTCCCACGTCTATCTTGTCCAGGTACATCTCGGCGGCGTCCAGAAGGCCACCGCTACCTGGCTCCTCACGTTCTTCACCAACAGAGGACATTCAAGTCCTCGGGCGGTGAACTCAAATCATCTACTACATCTACGACCTCCATCGCGTCGCATCTCCAGAGACATAGATGGCGTCCACAGGCTCTGGTTAGTATCTAAGATTAGTTTCCGCATTAAGATGAGTTAGTGATCATGTTTAGGCTAAGATAAGATCCTGTTTATGCTAAGTTCTAATTCAACATCGGTATCAAGAGCTTGCTTAGACCTAACATGATCCTAGGCCAGAGTCAGTTTTGTTTTTTATGCCTGTATTATATATTAGATTAGTTTCGGCTAAGTCAGATTAGATGCAATTAAGTTTAAATTAAGATCGAACTTATATGTTACATGCATGTTTAGCCTCTGTGATATATATCTATGCTATGTAAGTGCCGAATTAGATTCGTTTTAAGTTGTCAGTATGAGATTAGATTTTTATTAGATCCGATCTGAGTTTATGTTCATGATTAGACTAAGCAAATAGGATTAGGGTTTTACTGATTACCGCTATTAGCCTCGGATTAAGCAATCAGTGATATTTTTAGATCTTGATTAAGCACTGAGAAGGAGGTGATTTGGGCAAAACCCGATTAAAATCCCAAAGATCCCCAATTTTCCCCAAAATCAAGAACTCTAACCCTAAGATTAAGCATCAGAGATTGAGATTGAGACTGAGATTGCACCTGTGCGGCTCGTACCCGGTTTCCAAATCGGGTCGCCGCTCTGGGATTAGAGTGGCTCGTACCGGGTTGTAGGCCGGGTCGCCGCTGCCGTGCGGCGCCAAGCCGCGCACGAGAGTGGCTCGTACCCGGCTTCCTCAAGCCAGGTCGCCACCGCCGCGCCCTGAGATGAGAGCGCTGCCACGGGCCTCAGGGGCGCTCAGACGCGGCTGCACGTGCGCCCATGGGGCCGCCGCCGCGCGGATGAAGGCGGGGGCCGCCGCTGCCGTGCGCGTGCCCTCAGGGGCAGGCCACCGCCGCCGCCGTCGACGCCGCACCATTAGTTGCGGCCTATGAGGCGTGCAGCCACCTGCTCCTGGTTCTTCTGCTCCAGCATCAGGGCACCTGGGGCCGAGCTCGACGGAGCCGCGTGCTGCCGCACGCGCACACCAGCGAGCCGAGCGCCATGGTGCCTCACCGTCACGTGCATCTCCCTCTCTGTCTGTCGTGTTCGTGAGAAGAAACAGATGAGGAGAGTGAGGAGTGACGAGTGAGGCTATCTCCAACAACCACACCAAAAATACAAGACCCATTCGTCCTTTGAGTAGCGCTACAGGCAAAAGGTCCAATACCTATTCGGCATCTTCTCCAACAACAAGATCCAAAAGAGAATCCTTTCTGCAAATAGATTTCCATGAGAGAGGATGCCCATATTTGGGTTGTGCCTCTCGGGCAACCCAAAATAGGTCTCCCGTATAGGTACTCTGTTGGAGGCTGATTTTAGGTCTCTTGCTACCCATTTTGGGTTTGGGTGCCCATATGGGTTCCTTGTTGGAGACAGTCTGACTGAGGTGATTTTAGGGTTTACAAATTATTTATATGAGCGTAAGATCATCTGTGGCCGTTGGATTCACTTGAACGGCTAAGATTGCTCAGCGATTAGGTTGTACTGAGCAGGCTGTTGCTGGGCTCAAAGGGGAGGCGCCATGGGCCATTGCTAGGCCGCGCGTGCCGCAAGTGGCTTTGGGCCTCTGCTGGGCTGCTTTGCCTTTTAAGGCTAAATTGAGTTTTTTTTCAGAATATAAGTTTAGTTACTATTTATTCTCAGCTCAGATTAAGTATTTCAATTAAGTTGAGTCGATTAATGTTAAATTTCCATTATTTTTGAGTTGAGTTTATGCTCATATAAATTAGCTCACTGATTTTTATGAGTTCCCCAGTGTGGCTACTGCACTATGGAGCAGAAAAGAAATGAGTAATTGGATATTAAATTTATAGCCGGGTATTTATACTCATGAGTTTAGCTAAATCTTAGTCATCCATTGACTTAAATAAATGAGATCATCTTAGCCACTAAGTTTTTCTAAGTGGTTATTTATTGGGTTTTTAAGGGGAGAGCGACCTGACATGGTACTTTTGAACTACTGTTGGTCCTACCCTATAAAAGTCAAACTAAGTTTTAGTTTTAGAATATAAGTTTGACCAGCTACTTAATATAAGCATATTATTTTTTAAGTGCTTTTATTAAGTTTAAAGTTATAATGGCCTCATTATGTTTTGTTTTTTAGCTTTAGTGTCAGCAACTTAATTATTTCTTTAAGTATTATAAGTTTAATGGCCTCATAATGATGTATATTCCCACTTCATATATAGCTTAAGTATCCATTTGCTTTAGCAATCTTTAAGTTAATATAAGTGTGTTTTGGGAATATGTTGCTGAGAATATTTAAAGTTTAAGAATTGTTTTTAGTGCAATTTACTCAGTTAACTTTTATGCACTATTTAAATAAGTTTTTAAGTCTGAGTTTTAATTTTTAGTTCCAGCATTAAAATTTATGCTTCCATGAGCATTTTATATTTTTAGTGATGCCCTAAGATTAAATTTTGCATGAATTTGCATTCAATAATAAGTTTTTTATATACATTATCCACCACTGTATAGTAAGATGGTCTCTAGTTGAATGGAACCTACGAGAAGTTTAACCGGAGATTACTCATAATTAATTTCTGACCAATGTTGACTTTAATTATGAGTTATTAAGATGGATTTTGGTTTGTTTTCTACCCAACGGTGATGCAAACTAAAATTCTTAAGCATGCTGTTAATACTGACCGACATTGGTTTAACTTCATGCTTTAAGTACATCTTATACACATCATACTAATTGAGACATTATTTTGCTTTAAAATTTTCAGTAAATTATGCAGACTATTTAAGTACCATAGAACCCCTAAGTTGCACTAATTTTTCTACTTGGAATAATCAAGTGCATGCCATTCTCAAGGAGCTAGACCTTGATTATGCGCTTCATGAGGAAAAAACACATGCTCCTTCTCCTATTTATGAGTATTATGCTGAGAGGATGGAGTATATCCCAAAATTAGAAAAAATGGGAGAAATCCGACAGGATTGCCAAATGATAATAAGATGCTCCCTCTCAGTTAACATGATGAGGAGGTTTCTTTCTAATGGAAAGAACACCGAGGGTTTAAGTGCTAAGGAGCTTCACAACTCCATAGAAGCACACTTTAGAAAGGTTTTCCATTTTGATAAGTTAATTAATGTGACAGAACCGCCCAATTCATACAAGCGCAAGTATGGCTACCCCTGTTTAACACGTTGATGCACAGATATAAACCTGGTAGTCCACCGAGTGTCACGAAGGACCTTGATAAATCAACCTCACAACCAAGATCGTACGATTAAGCAAATACACATCATATCCATAGAGTTGCAGCGGAAATTATGTTTACACTGAGTTCACAAATAATAATATAAGTTTGGGTTTCAAAACCGATTAGTGAAAACAACATAGCTTTCAACTGATTACAATAATATAAGTTCCAAATACATTGCTAGCATACGTGATATCCACTGACAAAAGCATATAGGTAAGAACACTATATAAAGTCGCCGAGCCCACCGACGGTTAGCCACAATCTTTAGCAGGCCGAGAACTTCACCTGCAATATGATGGGATAAACCCTGAGTATAAGAAGGTACTCAGCTAGACTTACCTGTCATAAACCAAAAATAAAGTGACTCTAAGGATCATGCAAGGCTTTATAAGTGGAGCTAGTTTGACACCATTTTGCATAAAAAGCCACTAATTAAGCTATACATTTTATAATTCGGTCATCAAGTTAATTATATCTATTCATCTCTAGATTAGCAACTAACCTGTGCCAAACATGTGGTATATCATTTAGTAGCATAACAATAGTAACCATAGCCGGTGTAAGATTTTCATATTCATCAGAACCATCATATTCCACAATCCAATTACTACGATGCTGGACCTAGTCGAGTTTCTCACTATCCGGAAGAGACGGCGATTCGAATCGATTTTAACCAGCTAGGAATTTATTCCTAACACAAACCCAGACATACCTGCGCCAAGGTAGTCTTAGGTCATCTTTGGTACAACTCAGGTACACATTTTGCGGGTTCGATCAACGCCGCACAACCAAGGACAGCTGCCAGGACGATCAGAACTACCCTGCCCTTGGGCTCATGTCTAGCTCCCCACACATCCTTACTACCATCCAGAGTGCGCACTTTGACAGAACGAGGCCTGGCCTGAGTTGAGCTACTCGACTTCATGGTCGGAATGAGTTATCCGGCCAGCTAAGTGAGAGGCATGCGTTCAATCTCGGCAGAAATGCCAGCAATGGTACGGTCCTTAATCGACACAGACGGGATCAACATAGCCAACCCAACACCATTGCATATGAAATCCCGCCTGGTCTCCACTTAGATTACATCCCATGAT